GCCAAGGAAGACCCTGAAGTGGGCAGCAATGTGCACCTTCACGCCTGCCCTGAGGCTGCAGCACTTGAATGAGCCAAAGCCAGGGGCAATGATGCCCCATTGCCAGCAGGCTGGAGCCTTCCCTCCCCTGACCCTATGGCATGCCCTAAAAGCAATTAGTTCTCATTGACATGAATCTCACTTGAAAAGGATTATCTTCATTAACCCCTAAGCTCCCGGAGGGAAGGCTGCTTGCAGATGGGCTCTGCCTGCCTGCATGCTGAGAGGCATTTCTGTTAGGCAAGGTGGGGTCCAAGAGTTGTACCAGCCATGCCAGGGATTGGAACAGAGGCCCCAGGCAGTGCTGATCTACACCTTGGAGCCAACAAGTGGGTGCACACAGTGGACAGCTGGCCTGCTTCAGGGCAGTGAGAAGAGGAACAAAGCTCCCATCCAGCCAGAGCATGTCACCAAGGCAAAGGGAGAGTGGTGCCTCTGACTGCCATTTGTGTTCTGGGCTGGACACTTAACCTCCCTCTCTCCCCGAGGCAGCCATTTGGTCACCTGGACCAGTTTAGAGAGAGAGAGAGAGGTCTGACCCCAAACAGCTAAGGAAGATCAGAGTCAGATCTGACCTCTGTAGCCCAGAGCCACCTCTGTTGTTTAAACAGGGGAGATGCCACATGCAAAGCACAGGGCAGCTACTACGATGTGGTGACATCAGAGAAGGGCTTCTGTCCACACAAGCAGGAGGGTTGCAGGTCCCTGAAGGGAGCTAGGGATGGGAAGACTTTCAACACTGGCTGAACCAATTCTCAGCAATGCCTCTCACCCAAGGCTAATGCACCTGTCAGCCCCTTCTCATGGCCACCTGAGGTAAGGGAGAAGGAAGCCCCCTGAAAGGATATCCCCCAAACCCTTTAACTCCCTCCCTGCCACATCAGCAGCTCCATGGGCTGGCAGACTGGTGAGCTGGAGCACAAGGGGTCTCCCTTTACCAAGTGGGAGGTGCAGGCAGAGGGAAAGGGCGGCAGCTGGCTTGCATTTAAGGGGGACAGAAATGATGCTGGGGAGAGCAAGCAAGTGAGCCAGTCAAGGGCTGGTAGCTCAGTCACCAGGCTACTCTGTTCAACACTGCACACCACCAATGGCCAAGCCCTGTTATGTCAGAAGACCTGCAGCATAGCAGCAGGAAGCAGGGCCCTCTGGGACAAAGGAAGGCAAAAGTACCTTCATCTTGGAGGCGGGCTGGATAAGCTCCGTGATAGAAACTTTGTCCTGCTGAAGCCGCCGCTTGACCAGCTTGGAACAGCAGATGTTGACAGAGCTGAGGACGTGCCAGGAGTTGTACTCTACGAAGGAGCGGCTGTCTATGACCAAGGTGCCCTCAGCCCCGTTTCTCAGAAGGATGGCCAGCTTCTTTGGGTCCATCACTTTGCGTGGGAGCCTGTCCCCGGCCATAACGGACCCGTCCCCTCCACAGCTAATGGGAGGGAGGGAGGGAAGGCCAGGGGCAGGGATGCCAGCACAGTTCTCCCAGGGGTGAGAGGGAGTCGGGGGGGACGGTGTAGGCAGGGCAGCACCCGTCTTGGTTCTCACTGTGCTGCTAAAGCCCAGGATGCCAAGTCATTGTGTCAAACCTGTGGAGAAAGGAGGAGAAAAGGGAAATTAAAAAAAGTGAGGCTCTAAGACAGCAAGGGCAATCTCAAGAATTCCCCTACCATCACTCCCCACACAAGGGTTCAAGTCAGATCTCAGTCCTGGGCCAAGCTCCTGAGTGCATTAGGATTATCCTAAAACTGCACAGGGGTAACCCAGACCAGAATCTGACCCCAACCATGGCACTTCCTACAGCAAGTGTTAGCCATTTATCTAGGTCTAATGAACTAGATTTACCTTTAACCATTCAGAGGCAAAAGGTGATAGTAGCAATGGCACAACGGAGCCAAGAATTTTTGGGCCACAGAATATTATTTGCCCGGTATCCCCCCTAATTGGCACAGCACCTCTAGGTGGATCTTTGCTCAGGCCCTGGATGCTAGGGAATGGATTCTATTTCTCCTCGCAGACCATCTATCTACAGCAAAATTCCCTCTAGCCCCTAAGACCCAATCTTGCCATTACCCACTCTCAACCCCACTGCTCAGCTCCATGAAAACCCCTTAAGCCCAACTCTCTCTACTACAGAAGACATCTCTACTTTTATATTGCAGCACATCTCCCGACCTCCCAGAGAATTAGCCTCCTTCCCAATCCCTTTTCTTCACCAGTTCTAGGTACCCCAGTCTAGGCTCTGAAAGCAAGAGCGGTCACAGGAAATCAGCTTAGTACACCAGGCGGCAATTTTGTGAAGCAATGCAACTCAAGGCTTTCTACTCTCCCAATCACTACCAGCTTGTACATCTTATTTATATCCCCTCCCCCTATTCCCAACAACACACACACACTCCTGAATCAGCACCAAGTCTGCTTTGACTTCAACAGTGTCAGCTCACCAAGAGACAGCGTGGGAAGCAGGTCAGGATGGAAAGCAGCAGCAGCATCACAAGATTAACAAAAAAGTTAAAGGCACTCTTCTCCCCTACAGTGAATCCCAAGATATATTAGCCATTTAATTAGGATCAACCAGTCAAAACTGGTCAACTCAGCTCGTGACCCACCATCCTCTCTCCATAGCTGGCTACAGGCTACATGGTGTTCAAAACAAATCATGCCTTTTCCTCCAAGGAAATGAAGTTCTTCAGAGGAGGGTAATGCAAAACATCTGATTGTTCCCCGAGGTGTTCATGCCAAATGCCAAAGGTTCAGCTAGCAGGGACTGTGCACTCTGCCAAATAAGACCAAATAAATCCAGTTTTGGGTCCCACAATTCAAAAAGGATGTGGAGAGAGGGAAACTTGAGAGAGTCCAGAGAAGAGCCACGCGCATGATCAGAGGTCAGGAAAACAGACCTTACAATGACAGGCTGAGAGCCATGGGGCTCTTTAGCCTGGAAAAGCACAGGCTCAGGGGTGATCTGATGGCCACCTACAAGTTTATCAGGGGTGACCACCAGGATCTGGGGGAACGTTTGTTCACCAGAGCGCCCCAAGGGATGACGAGGTCAAACGGTCATAAACTACTGCGAGACCGTTTCAGGCTGGACATAAGGAAGAATTTCTTTACTGTCCGAGCCCCCAAGGTCTGGAACAGCCTGCCATCGGAGGTGGTTCAAGCACCTACATTGAACACCTTCAAGAGCAAATTGGATGCTTATCTTGCTGGGATCCTATGACCCCAGCTGACTTCCTGCCCTTTGGGCAGGGGCCTGGACTCGATGATCTTCCGAGGTCCCTTCCAGCCCTAACGTCTATGAAATAGTACAGTGCCCCTCAGGAGGTACCCAGACAGGAACCAGCCAGCATAAACCAAAGCACGCTAACAACACAAGCAGCCTGGCATTACGTACACAGTGGGCACTTTGGGTTCAAAGGAGAAACAATCTAGCAATTACATCAAAAGGGGTTCACAATCAGAACCTCTTTGGCCAAGAATTTCAAGGAGGAAGCTGAACTTACGATACCTTTAAAAGAGCTGGATTTTCAGAGAGTAGGTGCTCAGAGATTTCTAAAACTTGGGCACTCTATAAAAATTTCTGAAGTCTATACAGGCAAAAAAAAAGCCACCAAAACAAACACACAAAGCCCCCGAACACATTGGCCACTTCTGCAAAGCTGGTGGTGGGGACCATTAGACAAGTTCTGTAGAGACTTTACTAGCTCTCAGAAGTGTCAAGCAGTCAAGATCGCGAGTGCTGGTGAAGTGGACAGAGATCCCCAAAGTAAGCCTCTGCAGAAATGCCAAGTTTTACACAGGGCCCAGAACTCAGGAATGGATAAAGTATCCTGGGGCACTTCACACAAATCTGCAGAGTTTCTGCTTAGCAAGGTACAGGGGTGTGCTTTCTTTTGGCGGTGAGGCTCTCTCCTTGGGCAATGCCACACATCATCAACAGTAGATGCAAGAAAATCGGTCAGAAAAAGAACACAATTATAACAGTGCCTCCCTTGCTGCTAGTAGACAGTATTTTATAGAAAGCCCAGAAGCTGCACTACAGTAGCCCAATACACCCTAGCTAGGCAGAGTGTGAATGAACACCACTATGAGAGGCCAATGGAGGGTAGTACCGAGACTCCCACAGACTTCCCTGGGCCAGGGTTTGGCCCAAGGACGGTAACAGATCTCTGCAACACCTACTGACAAGCTGTATCAGGGATCAAGCTAATTTTTTTCCATACTTAAGATCCCTGTACTACGCAGGCAGGAATTGACACCCAACACTGGTTAAAAGCTGAACAAAGGTTGTCATGATCTTCCAGTTCCTGGTAGCAACTGCAGAGATAGCAGATTATTGCAGACTCATTTCTAGAAACGGAAAGAGCCTTTCAAATATTATGATGAAGTAACACATGGCACATCCAGACACGTAGGAGAAGCATGTGGGCATCTGATCCAAGTTCCGGCAGTGAACTGGTTAACCAATCTGCCAGATAACAGCAATAACCAGCTTTCACACCAACTCCCACTTAAAGCTGAAAGGAATGGGGGGAAACAAAAAAATAAATAAATAAATAAATAAAAAGCACACACACTTTTCTTTTGCTGTGGCTAATTCAGTCTTTATTCTTCATATCCTGTAATAGGCAGCAACTGGGGGCCCTACCCGAGATCATCAAGCTGGCTCCGTACTATAGCTGAGGAGGCAGGACAGTGCCTGCCTCGAAAAGCTCACGATTTCAGATGAGACAAAGCACACACTCAACCTTGCCTCCATTCTTATTGCGAAAGTCCTTCTCAGCAGGGAGAAGGCAGGAAGCTAGTTAGGAGAACTTTGCAGATGGGAGACTAGAAGCAGGCAGTGGGTGCCAGCCCTCAAGATATGGGTGTTTCCACTAGCTGTGCTTTCAAGCAACCACCACAGTAACAAATACCCATCTTCCCAACAACCAGGTCTGCACCCCAACACATGAGGACTTGTCACCCCCATCCACCATGGGGGTCGGACCTGATGATCTGTTTAGGTCTCTTCCGACCCCAAGTACTGGTGCCAGACTCCAAGCTGATCCGTCACTGACCACAACAGAAAAAAACTCTACTCCAAATATAAAATCATAAAGACTAGGCAAGAGAAACCCACCCCTCCAAACCCACATGCAGCCTGCCACATTAATCAGAAACGCCCCAGTGGCTGTCACTGCTATCATTACTGCCCCAACAGCAGGAAAAGCTTTTCAATGGCTTTGCCCCTTCTCTGCTTCTTGCCCCAGCATGCGCCTGTGTCGTTTTGGCTAAGAGCAGGCATTCCAATTACAGCTGCCCCTTTGAAGGTAGGCTCGTGATCCCTCCCTGGCCACTGGAGCATGGCTATTCATGCACCCCGCCCCCCAAAGGGTGGGTTTTTAAAACTGAAACAGTTCCAATTAAGGGGTCCGAGGGAGGAAAAGCTGGCTCCTGCTGTGATATGACACACCTCATTATGTAGTTACAGCCTCGCCAGGGACCCCCTGCTGCACCAAGGCTATAGAGCCAGAGGAATCAGAAAGGATGCAAATAAGCTGGCTTTTGCTATATCTCTCTCCCTTGCCTTGCTCCTGCCTCTTCTCCCTTTCCCAGCCAGAGACACAAGCAGCAAATTCCTCTCCCAATTCTCTGAATTCCAGCTAAGAAAAATATTAATTGAAAGGCAATAGACTGACAAAGAGGTGGAGATAATGATGAGATTGAGGGATAAGAATGACACGCTCAAGTGGGATGAAGGGGTGATCCAATGGAGGGCGAGGGAAGAGGAGGGGAAGAAAAATGACATATTATCCAGGGAGATAATAGGATTCATTCCCATCCCTCTCTAGATAATGAACACAGCATAGTACTGGGGTTTTCAAAAACAATTGGAGGGGTCCAGGCAAGATAATGACCCCTTTATCTCCTAATTGCTCATAAAAAAATCTGCTTGGAAGAGGTGTTGTATGCAGTGAATCCTGATAGACCAGCAAGCATTTAGCTGGATGAAACTAAAAGAGACCGTGGATAATGATGGGCCTAAGGTCCAAGGGGTTCAATGGATGCCCCCCATATCCCTGCCAGATATAAGTTGGTTGCAGAAAAGCAGAAAGGTAAACGTTCTCCAATGCTGAAGGAGAAACATGATGGCTTTTTCTGAATGAGGGCTGCAAGGAGGGCCATGATCCACCTGGAGAGCTGAGGTGACTATGCATATGTACGCCTTCCCTCATATCCCCAGCCAGTACCACGGGAGGCATAGGGGTCTGTTAAATACAGAGGCACTGGACTGGGACTCAGGAGAGCTCGGCTGTAGCAGATCAGCAGGTGAATCAGAAATATGAGTCCTGAGCAGGCATTCACTTCTGTCCCTTCCCCCTCTATTCCCTTTGCTTCAGCTGCACATGCTTTGGAGCAGAGACCTTCACCAGGCCTTTGCACTGGAACTGGGGCTAAAATTCAATTCTAGCCTCTGGGCACAAAGAAATACAAAAGTTATTCATTTGCTGCTGCTGTGCCCATTGCCTGCCCTTCTTAACAGAGAAACTGGCACAATCCCTGACTGCTTATCCCCTAGCCCCACAACAAAAATGTGACTTCCAAAAGTTTAGGCATTTGGACAGGGGGCGGGAGAAACTGGTCACTGCTCCCCTTCTCCAACTCTCAGCTCTTACCACCTAGCTCAAGCGTGGGGGCAATGGCAGTAATACCCATGCAGACACCAACTGCTTGCATTTGTGGGTATTCCAGAGACGGCTGGTGCCAACAGGTACTGTTTATTGTTGCTATCTCAGAAAGTGTATGGCCAAGGCAGCAGGAGATGTGGCAGCCAACAAGTTTGCCATCATGTCATACCTCCCACACACAGCCCGGCTGAGACCTTTTTCACTGCCAAAAGCTCCCTTATACGCATGCTCCCAACCTCACCAGAGCCGGTAGAGATGTACTACTGTCAGTGACCAAGGTGTTTTGGGGCTGGAGAGTGCTAGTGCAGATGAAACCGAATGAGTTTGGTCATGTAGAGTGGGCACCGGGAAGAGAAAAAACCTTAGTATTTGTATGTGAACACATCTGAGAGGGAGTAGCAGAAAGATTCAGCATGCAGCCCCATAGAGCTGTATTTCATAGAGTTTCTAGAGAGGCAAACAGTAACACAAAGTTAGTTGGAGAAGGTAGGGGTAGGCGAGAAAAATCAGAGAGCCATCTTCTTCATTCTTGCCAACTAGGTCAAAGGGAAGGACAGGGAGTAAACATGAACATGGAACATGCCTGAAGTCTCTTGTTATCTTGCCATGATGACACAGGACCACAAAGTCCTAGAAGGGGAAAAAGGTTAACCTGGAACTGAAATGACAGTTTCAGAAACAAAGCCATGTCCCTCTTACCAATTTATTAAAGCCGCCTTAATCGTCTCAAGTGTTCCTGAAGAACATTACCATAATCCTTTAATCCCACCTCTCCCTAGAGTGCCTATAATGAGGAGATGGGCACAAGGCTTAGATGAATGGGGACAGCAAAGCAGGAGGCGCCATGCTGCAGCTCGGGGACCGAAAAACAGACAGCTTAATGTGCGCATTACACTAACCACACGCCCCTCAGAAAACAGTGGCCAGGCTCACCTCCAAAATGAGCATCGGTGGGCTTGGGACTTGCACCCATTGGGACCTGGGCGATGGAGAGGGGAGGGGAGGGGGAAACAAATCGACTCTCTCTGATGGTTCAAGACAAGAAATTCAGCAGTATATCCGGAGGAACAGCAGAGTTTGTGGCAACTGCCTTCTAAAACAGGACAGAGGACGATGGGCCAACAGGTAGTCACTGGTCCTCACCCTTCTGCCCCAAGATGAAAGCTTGTCACTTATTATATGCCAGTGATATTTGAGATGTACTAAACTACCTACTCACTCCCTACACATACACGACAGACATGCACTGTCGTGTCCTTAGGGGATTCATGCACGTGCCTCCTGTCCTGCACAAACAGCCTGTTTTAATATTGTAGTCAAGAACATGGGAAGCTCAGAAGCCCAGTCTGGATTCACCTTGCCCTGGTGCAAAGACACAGGTAAGGAGGGGAGCGATGTCACAAGTTTTCCCTGGCTTGTAGCCCATTGGCTCTCCGGCATGAAAATAATTAGCGGGCTGGGGTGCACGACTTCTGAGGAGTGGCTCAGGGAATGGGGCTTATTTAGTCTGGAGAAGAGAAGACTGAGGGGGGAGTTAAAAGGCAGCCATCAGCTACCTGAAGGCTGGTTACAAAGAGGATGGAGCTAGACTGTTCTCAGTGGTGGCAGATGACAGAACAAGGAGCAATGGTCTCCAGCTGCAGCAAGGGAAGGATAGGCTTGAGATTAGGAAAAACTCTCACGAGGAGGGTAGTGAAGCAGTGGAACAGGTTGCCCAGAGAGGTGGTGGAAGCTCCGTCCTTGCAGGTTTTTAAGACCCAGCTCAACAAAGCCCTAGCTGCGATGATCTAGTTGGGGCTGGTCCTGCTTCGAGCAGGGGCTTGGGCTAGATGACCTCCTGAGGTCCCTCCCAGCCCTCATTTTCTATCATTCTATGGCGAGGCAGAAATCAAGACATAGAGAGGGTCAAGTCAGTAGGGAGAAATGCCAGTGCCTGTTTAGGCAAAGAGGCCAAATGAGCAACCCCTTTACTATTTTTTAATCCCATGCTGCCAAGGACTTTACCATGGCAGTTGTCATCTTCCCCTTGCCCCACATCCCCTGGAGAGACAGAAGCCCAGAGAATAAGTGATTTGCCTACCTTACCGTGGCAAGGCCGGGAACACAACCCAGGTCTCCTGAATCTCACGCCAGCACCTGGCCCCTTCTGCCTTCCATGGTGTGCACAAGTCAGGAGCTGACAGAATTTCTCAGCAATTCTCGGTTCAACCTTAGGGACAGCAGATGATCATCAGAGGAAAGGATTGCCAAGAAAGTAACTGTCAGCTTACAGCCTGAACCACTGGCAGGGTGGCTTAAGCTCCCCAGGCATTTACTCTGGCACCTTCACCACCCCCCTTTTCTTTCACGAACTGAAGCACTTAGCAAACTCCCCTCGGCAGGCTCACGCTCTTTGAGGGATTCCTAAATCATGGGACTCTTACTAATTATTATTATTTTGCAGAAGCAGCAAATCAGGGACATGGGGCTCATTAACAAGGTAGCACCTTTGGTTACTCTGGCAACCATGTAGCTGCCAGGCAACAGCTGCCTCTCAAGCCCCATGGAGATATTAGCTGGGTTTCTCAGTGGTGAAGGTACCTAGGAAGCAGCAGGAGCCTTGGCCCGGTCTTAACTGCAAGAGGCACAGCCTGGTCAACTCCAAACAGCCTAATTGTATGCTTGGATGGTGCCAGGCATCCCCAGCAGGGACCAAACTCACAAAGCAGAGTGCAGGCAGGATGCTTCCCCTTCATCACGCTGGTCTCCAGCCATTGCCTATCTCCAATTCTCCTTTTGGCTGCTGTCAGCTAGGTGGTCTCATCCCCAGAGAGAGATCCAAACATTCCTGCCTGGAGGATGGTGGGCATTTGGGCTAGCCATGGGAAGAGGCAGCTAGGAGCCAACAATAAGCACCTGCATTATAACAACCCTGGAGATTTATTAGCAGCGCGGGTTAAAAGGATTCCCCGTCACTTCAAGGAATTCCCCCCTCAGAAAGGGAGTTATTTTAATTAGCACATCACTGACAAGGAGCCTCACTGGAGAAGGTTTCACACCGCCACAAAGATTTACTAGCCCACGTGCAAAGTCTACTCGTCCACCTTCACCCCAGAGAATCGTTTAACACCACAAGATCAGGTTTGACTTGCCTCAGGACTGCTTCCTTAAAAGAAAGGGGAAAAAAAAAAGGGGGGGGGGGGG